ATCTTGACTCTATATATATATATATATATATATATATATATATATATATATATATATATATATATATATCATTCATTATTATTTTATTTTGATACTTAATATTGAAATATAATATTTCCATGAAATAAATAATTTTCAATTAATTACAAGAGATATATTTATTTATCAAGAATCAAATTTTTATAAATAATATATATGCATCAAGTTGTTGTTAGTGTGATCTTTTTAATCATATATTATCTAACAATATCATTCTATAATGACTCTTAAGCATAAAAATCTTTCACATAAGATATATTTAATTGGATAATAATATAACTATTTTACATGTTTAATAATTTAAGTATAATAATATGTATTGGACAATTTTAAACCCAATCAAACCATATTGCTACATAATTTCTTCAACCTTAGCCGTTTAGCGACCATGTGAACGTTATCTTTTTTTCTGATTCTTTATGTATTCGACGAAGATCCTCACTTTTCACTTTATCTCGACCGATCATGCAGACTACCTCTTTATGTTTGAGCTCATCCCCTTCGTTTAAATCAAGCCCGAAATGCGCATCAAATGAAGTAGTGTAACTTGTCTTGGACACTTTGGATCTTTCCGAACCACCTTCTTCACTACCATGCTCTTTACTCATTTTGGGGACGCGACTAAAAATTTCCAAACATCGATAAATTTGAATGACCTCCACTTGTTATCAATTTGAATTTTTTTATAAGTTGTCTCGAAAATAGTTTGATTGCTTTTCCATTAACTCAACAAGTTGTTGTGTACGGCGTTGAATTTTGTAATCATTTTGTTCATTTTGTGAAACTTTATTACATTGGTCTTTTGTACGGTCTTCGCCACAACCAATAACCATGTTAAATCGCTCCATAATGTGTCGCTCAAAATGATCTTTTTGTGCATTACTGGTTTTGGGATCCTTCGAAACATCGACCCATGATTATGCTAATTTCATCTCTTCCTCACGTAGTTATTTTCTTAGAGGGCACCTTTACTTTTACTTTTCTAACCAGTGATTTTCATTTTCCTTGTCTTTTGGGTTAGGTGGTTCGGCTTTGATTTCTCAAAGAAATTCGAGTTCAGGTTCGGGTTCGACTACCAGTTCAGGATCAGGTTGGATTTCCAAAAAAAAATTTGACTTATGGTGTTAGGGGTTGGCTTCCCATAATGTATTCGGAGAGAGGGGAAAATTTTGTAACATGGTTAGCCTAAGGGATTGCATGATGTAATATTGTTGTGGTATTTATTGGTAGTAAATTGTTAGGGTTGGGGTCGGGGCGAAGTCTGAGAGGGATCAAGTTGTGGTCGGTAAACTAACGGATCTAGAGGACGAAGATTTTCACGTGCTTGTTTCGACCAGATCATGGGTTGAAATTGGAGGGATGGTTGTTTGGAGTCATTTTTGAAATAGAAGAGTTTAGGTTTTGTATGAATTGAATGTGTTGGTAGTGTGAAATATGTGATATAGAGTATGATATTTATAGTGGTTATTTATATAAAAATAAATAAATAAATAAAAATTCAAAATTCAGAAAAAAAACAGTCAAAAAACGGTCATAAACACTCCAACAGTAAAAAAGACGAGGATGCTACAAGATTCTATCTGACGGTGGCCTTATCGCGATACAATACCCTGGTCGGTAAATTGTACTTTTCTTTCTCTCTCCCACTAAATTAGGTTACAAAACTTTATATAAATAGTATGAGGTATTTTAATTATTTTTACTTCTCTTATACAAACATATCAAAACTGTAGTGTCGATAAACAATGGGATGTTGATTGAAGAATTTACCTTGGCATGAACCTTAGATGATATATAGATAGATACTGTTTTGATAAAAAGTCAACTAAGTGCAGGATAATGCTTTAATCTCAAAGATTACCCTATTTTGCAGCATTAAGTCTAGAAGAAAATATAAATTATGAAAGAAAAAAAATCTAGAGCAAAGAACATAAGCAACCTGCACTCCGGCCGAACCCCATACCCCAATCCCCACATTCACCACCACCCTACCCTAACATCCACACCTAAAATCATGCAATGTAGTCTGCACCAGTTGATTGTGTTTGTTGAGTGTAGAGCAACTATAAATAGTAGAATCGATATCATGCAATGCAAGCTTCAACACAACAACAAACATTCCAAATACCATGTGTAAAGAGGAAAAGTATGCTAGTTAATGTGATCCATTTCTTGAATCGGTGTATCGAATGAGGTAGCAGTGGTCTGCTTTTATACTGGTTTGTAAAGGCAAGAAATCAATTCGGCATTAAGGAATTGATTGTGCCAATAAATGCTATTAATTGCACAATGAATACACCAGTTACCATAATTCAAACCAAGGACCAAAATTGTAAAGTTTAGCAAAAACGAGGGTTGCGCGGGCACGATTTATCTGGAGCTGAATTTGTGTCCGTGTCCGCAGGCCCCGCCCACGCACAAGTTTGGTAAATTTGGACTTCGAAATCCAAAATTTACACCCCCTGCGTGGGGGTAGAAGTTGTAGTAAAACCATAGACACAAGCTTGTAAGCCTATAATACATTCAAGCTTATAAAGTCACTTGAGTTTAGTCTTTCTATCAACGTGGGAATCATTCCCACACCCACTTAACTTCTAACTTTTATTCTCAAATACCCAACTTTGAGTATCGATATCTCATTCACATATACTCCATTTTAGCGATACGATATATCAGTTCTCACAGAGTAGAACACAAACCCACTTAGAGTTAATTATATATACAACATATCTATATATTTATATATGTACAAAGTTAGTAAAAATATAAATATTTATATTGAAATTTCCAACAAAGTAGTCTTGATATGCTTCTACCTTCAATTTTTAAGGATTCTACTTTACCTTATTTTCCTGCAACATAATCTTGCCTTGTGTGAAGACAATTTATCAAAGATTACATATAAACGAAACAGACTTGCATAAAAAAGATGATAGCTACTCAAGATGCATGGTGATGGTACCCAAACCAAACCAAAGAGAAGGGAATTGAAGAACATGGTATACGGATTGCATTGAAATTTTTAACTAGCCTTTTGGAGTTTTATGTCCCATCCCATAACCAAGAATGTTAATTTCTTAATTTTCTCCTCCTAAACTAAACCCTTTATGCATAAATAAATATTATACATCCACATGAGAAAATTCTTTTGTTTGTTTTGGGAGTAGGCTTGAAATGTCCCGGTATTCAACTTTCCCAGATTAAAATAATTACATACTCATTTGGAAATTAAATAATATTGCATAAAAAAAGCTCTACGCATCTAGAATACTTTTATTCATTAATTAAAACCCTTTCTAGCTAGATTCACCATCCTACCAATCCTGAGCAAAGTATGAGACAAGGTATGAGGGTATGATGGAGCCAAATCAGCTGCTCTGGATCAACTTATGAAGATAAGCCAAAAGCAAACCAGATTCAATGTTAATTTATAACAAGTCCAAACCCCTTATTCTTTCGATACCAATTTACAACCTCTTTGCAGTTTATATTTTGGAATAATGGACCAGATGTTGGAACTGATAGTGTTACAATAAAGATGCTCTGGTGGTGATTAGTGGTGTACATTTGATACATGTAAGAGTTGTGCTATAAGTACCCCTCTTAACCATATTTACCCCCTTAAAGTCAATCAAATCCAAATTTTGACATTTGATTTGACATCATTTTTTTTGTCTTTTTTTTTTCCTATTTTGTTTTTTTGTTGTTTTTAATTCTTTTTTAATTCATATTATTATTATTATTATTATTAAATTTTAATATTATTATTATTATTATTATTTATAAATTTCGCACAAAATTTTAACATTCAGACGGCATTATAAATTCGAACAGCTATGTAAAATTGGTTTTTAAATATTTTTTATATTTTAATATTAATATTATTACTGTTATTATTATTATAAATTTCGAACAACATTTTATAAATCGGACATTATAATTTCGAACGACTATATAAAATCGGAAACATTGTATAGTGCTCGACTAAATGTTTTCAATTCGCACAACGCACCACACAATTGTAATACCGTACCAATTAATATTCGTAATTAATAGGAACAAACTTTGCTTTTGTTCCGATTTTATATAGTCGTTCGAATTTATAATGTCCGATTTATAAAATATTGTTCGAAATTTAAAATAATAATAACAATAATAATATTAATATTAAAATATAATAAAATATTTAAAAACCAATTTTATATAGCCGTTCGAATTTATAATGTCGTCCGGATGTTAAAATTTTGTGCGAAATTTATAACAACAATAATAATAATATTAAAATGTAATAATAATAATAATAATAATATAAATTAAAAAAGAGTTAAAAACAACAAAAATAAAAAACAAAACAGGAAAAAAATAAAAAACAAAAAAACAACAAAAGACAAAAAATCAAATCAAAAGGGGTGGAATTGGAAAACGAGGAGGGGTGCTTATAGAAAACCGCTTGTAATTACAACGTTCCACAAACAGAAATTTGGGCTAGAAAAGAGAATCCACAATCGTCGCGTTGTATCACTCGATTATGAGTGAGAAATGAAGAAAACATGTCATTTGGCAAATATTAGGGAGAGAGAAACCGAATCCACAGTTAAACGCCACGCGACGTGCCTTTCCTCATGTCAAATTGCCTCTCCCCCAACTTCGCGGTCACTTAAACTGCGCCAAAAGCTCTCAATCTCCCCCTCACACACTCACGCACACACAGATTCCTCGCCTTCCATATTCAACCAATTTCATTCGTGGAAAATTTTGCTCCTGGTTTGAACGTTCTTCCTCTTCTTCTTTATGCACAAAGTGATTCAGGTCTATTATTTTAGTAATAATATTAGGCGATCGACGGCAGATTAGGCTTAAATATGGGTAGAATGAGAAGGATACCAGCAGGGATTTTGGTGATAAGAAGCATTAGGGGAAAAGATTGGAGTTTGAAAACGTATAGATATCTCACCCTCTTTGTTACATTCGTTGCATACACTTCATACCATGCATCGAGAAAACCTAGTAGCATTATAAAAAGCGTGTTGGATCCTCCTCGCCATGACAATCACTCCAACTCCAATACTAACGTTCCCCCGTGGCCATGGCCGATAGGAGACTTTTTCATCCCCAAAACGAATGATACTTATTCGGATGATGGATGGGCTCCATTCAACGGGAAAGACGGCACTTCAAAATTAGGGGAAATAGACGTTGCATTTCTAGCGGTTTATTCATTAGGGATGTATGTTGCTGGTCATTTAGGAGATACTTTGGATCTTCGATTATTCTTGACAACTGGGATGATCGGGAGTGGAATCTTTGTGGCATTATTCGGGATGGGTTACTTTTGGGATGTT